TCTCCATCTTTTTTGTTTTGTTTTGTTTTAGAGTTAGACAAGCCTAGATTTTCTACTTTTAAGTCAAAATATATTTAACATTTGATATTAGTTCCAGGTGTATTATATAGTGACTTGACAATTATATACATTAGGCAGTGCTTGTCACGATAAGTGTAGTCACCATCAGTCACCCTACAAAGTTATTACAATATTAATGATTGTATTCCCTAGGCTGTAGTTTTCACCTTCATGACTTATTTTATAGCTAGAAGCTTGTACCTCTTAATCTCCTCTACCTCCCCTCCTGCAACCATCAGTTTTTTGTCTGTACTTATGGATGTTTCTGCTTTTTGTTTATTCATTTTTTTTTTAGATTCCACCTATAAGTGAAATCATGTGGCATTTGTCTTTCTCCATCTGAATTATCTCACTTAGCATGATACCTTCCAGGTTCATCCATGTTGTTGCAAATGGCAAGAGCTCATCCTTTTTTATGGCTGAGTAGTATTCCACTGTGCGTGCGCATGTGTGTGCGTGTGCATGTGCACGCATGTACACTACATCTTCTTTATTCATTTATCGATGGACACTTGGGTCACTTGCATTATTTGGCTATTGTAACTAGAGCTGAAATATACATAAGGGCGTATATATCTTTTCAAATTAGTGTTTTCATTTTCTGTGGGTAAATACCTAAAAGTAGAATTACTGGATCATCGGATAGCTCTGGCTTTAGCTTTCTGAGGAACCTCCATGCTGTTTCCAGAGTGGCTGCACCAGCTTGCGTTCCCACTATCACTGCAAGAGGGTTCCCCTTTCTCTGCATCCTTGCCAGGACCTCACCAGCACTCTGTTCTCACTGGTCTGAGGTAGTATCTCATTGTGATTTGATCTGTGTTTCCCTGATGATGAGTGATGTTGAGCATCTTTTCATGTGTCCGTTGGCGATGTATGCCTTTATGTCTTCTTTGGAAAAATGCCTATTCAGGTTCTCTGCTCAAATCAGATTATTGGGGGGGTTTTGGTATTGAGTTGTATGAGTTCTTTATATATTGTGAATATTAGCCCCTTACCAGGTAAATCACTTGAAAATATCTTCTCCCATTCAGTAGATTGCCTTTTTGTTTTCTGATGGTTTCCATTGCTGTGTGGAAGCTCTTTATTTTGCTGTAGTCACAATTGTTTATTTTTGCTTTTGTTTCCCTCGCCTTTGGAGTCAGATCCACAAAAGTGTTGCTAAGGTCAATGTCAATGTGTTTACTGCCTATATTTTCTTCTAGGATTTTTATGGTTTCAGGTCTTACATTTATGTCTTTAATCCATTTTGAGTTTATGTTTGTGTCTGATGAAAGAAAGTGGTCCAAGTTTCATTCTTTTGCATGTTGCTGTCCAGTTTTCCCAACACCATTTGTTCAAGAGATTGTCTTTTCCCCATTGTTCTTGTTTCCTTTGTCATAGATTAACTGACTATATAAGCATGGGTTTATTCCTGGGCTCTCTCTTCTGTTCCATTGATTTACGTGCCTGTTTTTGTGCCAGCACCATACTGTTTTGGTTACCACAGCTTTGTATATAACTTGAAATCTAGAATTGTGATTCCTCCAGGTTTGCTTCTCTTTTTAAGCTTGCTTTGGTTACTCAGCTTCTTCTGTGGTTCCACACCAATTTTAGGATTGTTTGTTCTAGTTCTGTGAAAAACACTACCAGTGTTTTGATACAGATTGCATTGAATGAGTAGACTGCATTGGGCACATCATCTTATCAAGGGGAGTTCTTTAACTCCCGAGAAAGAAGAACTTAGAGTTTTGCATTGCCAGAACATTCCCATTCTCCCTACAATTTGGGGAAAAAACAAATTTGCAAGGGAAGAAACCAAGGATCACAAAAAGGCAAAAGACCGTTTCCTTAGTCCCACTCCAAGATGATGAGATAGATAGTGAATAGAGAGCATTAGTTTGGGTCACAGAACCCAGAGACCAACTTGACTATTTTGCAGCTCCATTCCAGAGAATGGCATTCCCTGAGCACCAGTGCTTCCCAGTGCCAGGCAACAAAGGCCTTGTCAGAGCAGCTGGAGATGAGGTGATGCAGTCCCCAACCTCACCCCATCCAAACTGCAAACTTCCAAGTCTCTGTTCTACACCAAAGTACATTCATGCTTCCCTGGGGTTCTGTCTGCAGATGGAAGTGGACCAAAGAGTTTGGAGGCATCTCATCCACGTTGTGCCTGGCCCGAGGCAACTTTGCTAAGTGCTCGGGAATCATCTCATTCTTGTTCCTTAATAGCATTATTCTTCTAAAAAATGAATTAATCACAACCTCTTGAAGCTGTTGAAGCATTTTCAAACCTAAGGAGTGAACTGCCAAAAACAAAGTTGATACTGAAAGAAGACACCTTTCAGTATTGGGCCCATCCTGTGCTGTAGCATGGAGGCCACTCCCTGATCTATCAGTGTATACAGTTGCATGATGGACCTTGAGCAAGACTTGGGAGACAGAACACAAGGGTCTGATTCCTGGCTCTGCCATACAGTAACTGACCATTAGGTGAGATTTCTAAGTCTCGGTACATTAGCTTCCTGGGACTGCCATAATAAGTACCACTAACCAGATGGCTTAAACCACAGGAATGTATTGTCTCACATGTCCAAGTCCAAGATCAAGGTGTCAGCAAGGTTGGTTCTTTCTGAAGATGCTGAAAAAGGATCTGGCCAGGCCCTCCTTCTCCCAGCTTCTGGTGGATACTGGCAAACTTTGTCGACCTTTGGCTTATACAGCATGCATTCTCAGCCTTCACGTTTATGTGGCGTTCTTCCTGTGTGCACCTCTGTGCCCAAATTCCCCCTTTCAGTAAGGACACAGTCATGTTGGATTAGGGCCAACCCTAGTGACCTCATGTTAACTTGATTCTCTCTTTAAAGACCCTATCTCCTAATAAGGGTACATTCTGAAGTGCTGCAGATTGGGACTTTCATGTACAAATTTGTGGGGGTCACAATTTGACCCATAACACTTAGCTACTTCTCTTGTCTAGAAACAGGGATCACAATGCAATTCTTCCTCATATAATTGTCATGGCTGGGAGAATGCCTCACACAGGGTAGGTCTGCAGGAGGCCGTTGGAAATCTCATCTGTCTGAATGTGTGTGTATGTCTTGGTGATATCTGGGTTAGACTGAGCCGCTAGGAAGCAGGGCTCAATTGGGGCTCCCATCCTGTACATGTCCAACACACGTGAGGAGGTGTTTGACCCAATGCATTTTGATGATGGTGGAGATAAAAGGCTGGCAAGAAAAATCTGATGACAGATGAGCCAGGGCTGAAAAAGGGTTGATTCCAAGGGCTGGGGAGGAAGTGGAGGGCGAGGAACCCCTGAACACTGATAACTGGAGTGCACATTGATATAAATACTCTGGAGGGCAAGTTGGCATTATGCTAATGGGGGAGAAGCTGTGTATCTGATGCCCCAGCCATTCCACACCCAGGTATGTACTCTAGAGAAATGTTCACACCTGTGCCCAGGAGGTATGTGTAAAAGTGTTCATAGTATTGTGAACGTGAATAAATGCGATAAAGAAAAAAATATATTCATAGTACCATTGTTTGTAAGTGAAAAATGACCTAAGGGGCGCCTGGCTGGCTCAGTCAGTAGAGCATGTGACTCTTGATCTCAGGGTCATGAGTTCAAGCCCCACGTTGGGCATGGAGCCTACTTAAAACAAAAACAAAATCTAACTAAAAATAACCTAAATTTCCTAAACGTGATGTATTCACAGAGGAATAACATACAGCAGTTAAAGAGAATGAATAGGGCGATACATATCTCATGGATGAATCCCTCTAATAAATTTAAATAAATATTTAAATATAAATAAATAGGTAAATAGAAATCTGAATAAGTATTGAGCAAAAAAAAAAAAAGAAATTGCAGAAGGATATATGCAATGGATCAGGCAAAGCTCAATGATGTGTTCGTTAGGATACATATAGACGCATGTGCATAAAGAGAAAAAGGACAAGGCTGGGAATGGTGAAACACCAGACTGAGGAAGAGAATTCATCTGGGGAGGACAGGTGCCGGGGGGTGCTTCAACTAGAGTCGTAATAGTTCGGTTATTTTTTTCACCGAGGTGGCCAGTAAAAGGTATCGGTTATCTTTGACAACTTTCTGAGTGTTTGAATTACAACACTTCTTAAAGAACCAGGACTCAATCAGCCTTGCCTAAAGACGAAGGAGAAGCTGGGGCCCCGCTTATGGGGAGATTCAGAGCAGCTCTTGCCGCCCCTGCCCCCCCAGAATCCGGACCCCAGAGTACCCAGACCCCTAGTACGTCCGACACCTGCCACACTGAGAGGTTGAGACCCAGAAAGGGGAAGCCTCTGTTGACAGGGAGGAGAGGAGGGAAGGACATTCTGAGGCTGCCCCCCTCTGTTGTGAACCTAGTTATTGGCCCACACCCCCCCCACAAACGGCAAAGAAGTCCAGGGGAGAGAGCAGTGGGGCAGCCCCAGGAGAGGGGAGGGCACACGCACATGGGCACATGTGCCTGCAGCCCACGCATGCACCAAGCATGCAGGCTGACCCCCCCCAACACACCCACATGCACTGGTTTTCAGACAAGCTGGCACGGACACCCTGACAGTTTACAACACTCTTACACCCCCTCGCGCTTGCAGGAGTGCGCGCGCGCGCGCACAGACACACACACACACACACACACACACACACACAAACACACTCCGATCAGGACCCCAGAGTTGGCCGTGCTGTGGAGCCTGCCACCTGCAGGCCCTGCCAAACCCCCCCCCCCCACCCCGCCCCATCTCTGGGAGCGCTGGGTTTTTCCAGCCGGAGCCTCACTCCCTCTACTGCAATCTCTGGAAATTGGTGTCTGGCGCCGCAGCTCCTGCACATTATTTATTGATTTCCTCTGCCCCCGGGGAGACCCTCCTCTCAGGAGAGCTGCCGCCCCGGGAGCGGGGGCAGGCGGGGAGAGCAGCTGGGCCACAGGAGGCAGAGGGGATGGAGGGAAGGACGGTTCAGCAGCCCCCACCCTGCTCATCAAGCTCGCCAAGCCCCGCAGGGGCCATAAGCACCAGGCAGGAGGCCAGGAGAGAGGAGGGAGACTCCAGGAGGAGAGGACAGGAGGCAGCGCTGGGGGACCGAGCCCCCCTGAGCCAGCAGCGCCAGCTCAGACAGGCCACCCAGTTCCTGCACAAGGACTCTGCCGACTTGCTCCCCCTGGACAGCCTCAAGAGGCTCGGCACTTCCAAGGACTTGGTGAGGCAGCCCTCTCCCCCGACCCTTCCTCTCCATCTCCCTCTGTCCTGGGGAGGGGGGTGGAGGGCTGGAAAGGACAGTCCCTAAGCCTTCAGATCCCCTCTCCCTTGCTGAGAATGGGGCAGGGCTAGTCCCAGCTAGAGGGGCTCCACTCTGACCGTTTTCAGACTCTTCACTGGGGATGTTCCTACGGCTTGGGGGCTCCAGGAGACCCTGCTGGCATTGCTCAGCTTCTCCCAAATAGTCCAAGGTTTATCCTGGGGTGATGAGGAGCTGTGCTATTTAGAAGAGGCTTGCAAGGACACAGGAACCTTCTGGAGCACTCATTTGCTGCTGGAAGGGCCTGGAGGCCTGGCTGGTTCAGGGTTGTGGTTTCTGTCCTATCCCGAAACAACGGATTCCCTCCTACCAGCTCTGGCCATTCACTGGGCTTTTCCCTGCACAGTGGAAGCAGTAAGGGCCTCTGTCCTTTCCTGAGCCCCAGGGTTTTGTCTGGCTCTTGGCTGGGCCACTGGCCTCCTGAGTACCCCCTTACTCCCTTGTAGGAAAGAGGCCCTTCCAGGCTCTTTTCCTTCCATCTCCATGCAGCGGCTATGGCCTTCAGAGGGGAGGGGGCGTGTGGAGGGTGTGTGTGTAACAATGAGGAGGTGAGTGGGCCAGAGGACAGCTGCCTATACTCATGTCCCTCTAGGAGAGTGGTGAAGACCATGGGCTTTGGAGCCAGGCAGCCTGCTCGGGTTCAGATCCTGGCTCTGCCACTTCCTACCTTGGATAGGTTGCTTAATGGCTCTGAGCTTGCTTCTTCATCTGCTAAACGAGAACCAAATTAGTAGTATCTCCCTCATCAGGTTGCTGTGGGAGTCGCATATAACGGGCTTCGAAGAGTGCCTGGAGAATAGAAATCGCTATCAAAGGTCTAATTTGTATTGTTCCTCCAGCTCCTAACTCCATTTAGCTCAAGAGAGAAAATAAGCTCAAAGAAAGGAAGGCTTCCAAGCCCTTGTACCCTCACCCAATTCCTCGTCAGAGGATCTGAAAGGAGGCCAGTCCTACAACCTGAGAGGCACAAAGTCAACCTCAGGGGTCTTAGCCCAGCGTTAGCCAGGAGGCTAATGTACCCCTCGCTCCCTTTCCTGACCTAGCCCTACCAGATTCCTCCTAGACGAATGTTCCCCCTCCAGGAACCCAGCCGAGAGGCCAGCCGATTCCCAGCTGATTCCCAGCAGCTCCCAGAGAGGAAAGGTGACCAGACCAAGATCTCAGTTCAGGGAACTTCAGAGCTGCTCCCTCCTTGTGGACATGGCGAGCACAGCTGAGAAATAGGGAGAAACAGGGCAATGGGGGAGCTGGTCCTTTGGCTCCCGGTGGCTAGGACCTTAAAGGCTCTATGGTTTGGAGACCATCCTACAAATTTCTGGCCCTGGAGAAGAGGCTCTATTAACACTACCATCCCAGAATGGCTGGGTCCTGAGATCTGCCTCAGGACCTCCCGGATTGATCTCAAGCAGTTACGTTGTGTGGCTTTGGGAGTGAAGATATCCAGCCTGGGAGGACCCCACTGTCTCCCTCCCTAGGATAACTCTGGAGCAAACTGCACAGCACTGGGGAGCCTGAAGCCTGTACTCATAGTGGGAAAGGCGGGAGGAGAGCTGGGAACGGCAGGGCTGCTCTTTCTGCCAGTCCCAGGGTTCACTGCCCTTTTCCCAGAGCTGGGTCTCCTGCTGGCAGCCTTGTTGGCAGGAGCAGCTGGCCTCAAGGGCCTCATTAAACCAAGGGTAGAGAAACAGTCCCAGGTTCCCAAGAAGTGAGGGCAGGTGGAGAAGCACGTGTGCAGCCTGGACAGAAACAGTCATTCTTCAACAAACATTTACTGAGAGCCTACTATATGTAAAGCTAAGCCTTGGGATATAAAGACCTGACCTCACAGGCTCTCCAGGCTAATGGGGGAATTAAAATCCACAAATTCCATCTGTGAGAAGCATGACAAAGGGAGCTAAGAGAAGCAGTGCTGGGCCGAGCCGGTGTGCAGAATGAAGAGTTCAAAGAAGGGGCGCCTGGGTGGCTCAGTGGGTTAAAGCCTCTGCCTTCGGCTCAGGTCATGATCCCAGGGTCCTGGGATGGAGCCCCGCATCAGGCTCTCTGCTCGGCAGGGAGCCTGCTTCCTCCTCTTTCTCTGCCTGCTTCTCTGCCTTCTTGTACTCTCTGTCAAATAAATCAATAAAATCTAAAAAAAAAAAAAAAAAAAGAGTACAAAGAAGTCAGAGAGGTCTTCCTGGAGGAGGCAAACCACACATTAATTACAGGATATGTATGGTATTTCAGACTTAGATACAAACCTCTCTCCCAAATAAAGAGTAGTTCTGAAAAAGGATGTGGAACCAGTTATCCAGGCTGGCTTAGAAAAAGAGGACAAAGAGGAGTCTCGGGGCCGGGGGGTGCTGAGCAGGAGCCAAGGCGTGGAGGCAAACAGCAGCATGCTGTGAGCAGTACAAACAGGGGCATGGGAGCAGCAGATGTGCCGAGTGGGGGATGAGGCTAAAGACCAAGCGGTGGCCAGGTCCCCTGGGCTGTGCATCACCATAGAAAGTTTGGGCTTGGGGCGCCTGGGTGGCTCAGTGGATTAAGCCTCTGCCTTCGGCTCAGGTGATGATCTCAGGATCCTGGGATCGAGCCCTACATCGGGCTGTCTGCTCAGCGGGGAGCCTGCTTCCCCCTCTCTCTGCCTACCTCTCTGCCTACTTGTAATCTCTGTCAAATAAATAAATTCTTTAAAAAAGAAAAAAAGAAAGTTTGGGCTTTATCACGTAAGCGACAAGACGCGGCTGTGCTTTGATCGATTTTAAACAGGAGTAACAGTTACTTTTTTTGTTTCACTTTGGAGCTCCTCAGACTTCGACTTATACGCACAAATCATCAGGGCATCTTGTTAAAAGGAAGTTTCTGATCCAATAGGTCTCACTTCCAAGTGACATTAAGGCTACCGATCTGAGACCCACACTCTGAATCGTGAGGGTTTTAGATTCATCACTGGCCTCAAGCAGGTGTATGTGGGAGGAAACAGTACTGGAGGCAGGTTCTTGGGAATTTAGGGAAGGCGGTCTGGTGACCCAGACAGCTGGGGTGAGGCTTGAACAAAACCAGTAAGACAAAGCAGGGGTGGACCGGATAAATACAGAAGACAAAGCTGGCGGAACTTAGGAAGTGAAGTGACCAGACAGAGTGAAGGTGGTTTCAGGTGGGGGAGAGTCCAAGCAACCAGGTTTTGAGGATGTGACTTTTGTTTTCTGTTGCTGTTACTGATTTTTTTTCATCACATCATCAACCCTGGGATCTGCAGTACATGGAAGGGGGAGGTCAAAGGGGTAACAGAAAAAAAAGTCAAAAATAATGTCTTCTAGACCAGCGATAAAAGCTCCCCAATCATACTAGTTTCTGAAACGTCCTGTCACCTATAGGTCAGTCTAATCTAGAATGGACTGTTCTCCTGTTCCCATTTCTTCATTGCTGAGCCATCCCCTGGGGTCCCCCGAAACTGGCATGATGTGATCTTGGGGTCAAGTCTGCTATAATGCTCTGACTGCTGGGATCCTTGGGTATGCTCCTGCCGGTTTCTTACTCCAGTGAGATGCAGGACTGGGGTGGGGTTGGGAGGGGGGACATTGTGGGATGACTCCCAGGTGGGAGAACTGAGTGGCCTGGATACTCGGGTTTAGACCCGTCTGCCTTCTTTATTTTGGGACGGAGCCAGCAGCCGCACAGCGTGATCCAGAGACGCCTGGTGGAAGGAAACCAGAGTCGGCTTCAGGGGGAGTCTCCCCTGGTGCAGGCCCAGATTCACGGCCAGGAGAGCAGGAGAAAGACCAGCAAGACAGAGACTCCGGCTCTTCTGGTCAACTGCAAGGTGAGAAGGCCCCCCCCACCCACCACGGCACAGGCTTTCATGAACAGTCCTGCCTGTGACTGGCTCACTTCTGCCAGCCCCCTTTCTCCCCTGGGCAGTGGGGGAAGGAGGGAGGGAGAAAAGGCACCTCTCCCCGCGGCCTGAACCAAAAAATGGAATCCTGTACATTCTTTACTCTCTGCCTCAACCCATCTTCTCTCCGTGCTGTTCCACCTGTCATGGTCATTCCTCCTTCCCTTTATCAAATATAATCTTCGAATGTGAATGTGTAAATGCTCTTCAATGTCTTGTACATCCGTGGACCACCGTGCAAGTAGGCAGCCTGCAACCCCACCCCCCCACACACACACTCAGAAAAAGCTTGTGTGTTCCAAGGTGACAGCCTCATATGGTCCCTCCTCCTTGAAGCCCTCTCTGACTTCCCCAGGAGGAAACAGCCTCTCCTCCCTCTTGTCTAGGGCATTTCATGCCCAGTCCTTTCGTAGACCTTAACACTTGCTAGCGTGCACTAGTTACTGACACTTCCCTTATGCACAAGCTCAGCATTTACCCCTGTGCCTCCCAGCCACAAATCTCACACACAGTAGGTGCTCAACAGATGTCTGGGACGAGAAAATTGCGTGCATTTGGGGTATCCAATCGTCACCCAATATGTCTGTGTATATCCAGAAGAAAGCGAACCAGTCTTCGTTTCTGTGGTGAGCTTGGCGCTTACCCACATCTGAAGTTCCCGCAGGGCGGCCTGGTCTCACCCCCTCCTCTATGCCTCATCCAGACCTCTCTAAGCCAGGCCCTCAGCTTCCCAAGAATTCCTCTCCACGAGCAGATCTCCACTTCTGGCCAAGTCATTCCCAAGGGTATGGACTCACCAAGGCAGCTCTACTTCCTTTTTTGATTCCTTCCTCTAAGAGCTGGTGTGGCCTCAACTGGACGAGTGCCATAAAAATCACTTGGAAAGATTCGGTTCTTTCCTTTCACTCGTTTCGGAGAGGGAATCATCCAAGGCTGGGAAAGGTGAAGGATCCAAGCCCAATCCATTTTCCCGGGGGGCTCACGGAGTCCCCCATGACCCTCTTTCTCAGTGCCGAGACCAGGAGCTTCGGGTGGCCGTGGACACAGGCACCCACCACAACCAGATCTCTGCTGGATGCCTCAGCCGCCTGGGGTAAGAACGCAGCCCAAAAGAATGGATAGCGGAGAAAATTCAGAAAATATTCTGAAATGACATAGTAGTAGTTGCATGACTCTATGATACACTAAAAACCACTGCATTTATAAAAGGGTGACTTTTGGGGTATATCTAGTATATATCAAGAAAGCTGTAGTTAAAAAGTGGGGGGCTCTGATAGCAAAGACAAGGATTTCGACCCCACATGGGGCCAAGGTATTGGATGAGAACCCAAGTGTGGTGGGGAGGGGTATCAGCTGACTAAGGGGCTGGGGCTGGGACTGGGGGCTGTGGGGGCCATAATCTTTGCTTCCCAACCACAGGTTAGGGAAGAAGGTCCTCAAAGCCCCGGGTGGGGGCCTGGCACCTGGGCCCCCCACCCAGGTGGAGCAGCTAGAGCTACAGCTTGGCCAGGAGACAGTGGCCTGCTCGGCCCAGGTGGTGGGTGAGTCCTCCCTTCATTCCCAGCCCTCTTCGTCCTCTCCCACCTTCCTCTCCTGGCTGGGGCAAAGGCTGGTACCCTACAGGGTGTCCCCAGTCCCTGGGTCTGGATCCTCAGACCTGCGGGAGGGGAGGGCAGACAAACAGCGAGCATTGACAGGAGGGCACCGGGACCGCTGGGGGCCCCTCCAGCTCCTTCTGTTTTCAAATGATTCCCGCAGACGTGGAGAGTCCTGAGTTCTGTCTTGGACTACAGACTCTACTTTCTCTCAAGGTAAGGAGGATGTTAGCACTTGACCTGCACTTGGGGGCCTGGGAAAAGGAGGCCAGAGGGCTGGGAAAAGGAGGTTAAAAGGCACAGGTGTGGAAGCATGGGTCAGCTTCTGATAAGGAAGACATGGAGATGTCGTGATTTCACCTTTGCTTCCTTAGAGGTTTCTCATTTGTCCACAAGCAAAAAATAAGAACCAGATCCCACTGCCCACCCAACCCCCACCCCCAGCCCAGGGCTCCAGGCGAATGGAAACCAGGGGGAAGAGCAAGGAGTAGGGGGAGGCTGTGGGAAGTGGGAGGGCCCCCGAGAGTGGCTCCCTGCTGAGAGATGCTTGTGTCCCCTCCCTGTCCCCACAGTGCTGCATAGACCTGGATCGTGGAGTACTACGCCTGAGAGCCCCCTTCCCAGAGCTGCCTTTCCTGCCTCTGTACCAAGAGCCTGGCCAGTGACTGCTGAACCAGTCTGTCCCCAAGGGGAAGGACCTTGCCTTGGGGAAGAGCTGGATGGGGGAATGGGGCATCACTACAGCCAGGTAGCTGGGGACGACCGAGTCTGTCCCTCCTGCCCCCCTCGGCTTCTGGGGCTCGTTACCTCTCCCAGCTAGACTGCCGCACCTCACCCGGGGCCCTGTCCCTGCTGACACTCACCTTTCTCATTCCGCACACGACTGCTCACAGTGCAGTGGGGGAAGCACAGGCAAGTGAGTACTCCGGTACAACGGAAGGTGAGGACGCCAGGCCGGGGGCTTCCTTAGATACCTTTTCTGGGGTTGCCAACGTCTGAAGTCAGTAATCGCCCCGTGCCAGACCTTGGATGGACCTCCACTACTTCCCCTGGCAGTTCTCCTCCTCCCCTCGCTTTTTTACACATCGGGACCCTGAACTCTGGGGGGTGGGGCGGAGGGGCGTTGTCAGGAACTGCCCCACAAGGTGGAAAGGAGGGCAGGTGCCCAGTCCTCAGCCTTCATCTAACCAGGATTCCTTCTTGTTTCTGGAACTGTTCACCTCATTAGACCTCCCTTCCCCTCATCTCTGCCTCCTGGGCTTGAGCTTGTCCGATTTTGGAACCAATGGCTTTCTATCCCCCAGCAGGCTGTGACCCAAAGGGAAATGACAAGGAGGCTTTTAGTTTTCAGTGTGAAGAGAGGAACTCAGACCTTAAGAAGCCAGACCCCTGAGTGCCTTTCGGGCTCGTTTCAGTCTCTCGGGTCATGGATTCTGGGTATAGGAAGAGAGTGGTCTAACTAACCGCAGCTGGGAAACCAGGGTCCTTGGAGTGGAAACGCAGTCTGAAGCCTGGGGTAGATCAGAGAAGCAGGCTACCACCCAGCTGCCTTCTGACCTCCGGTCTTGCCTCTCCCTGCTGCGTCCCCTGCCCTCAGAAGGAGCAGAGGGGGTGCATGTGTGATAAGGATCCCCTCGTGCCTCCTGCCTCGCCCCAGCACCTCTGCTTTCCTGGCGCTGCCTTTTCCCTTCTGCCTCTTGCTGCTTCTATAATTGCAGACCCCGGACCCAGGGGCTGGCCTTCAGCTCAGCTGCTTGTCCATTTGAATAAACACCTGTTTCTCTATGCTGGTCTCCTTCTCTGGACTTCCTCCATGCTGATCAGAGTCTGCACTGGTAACTCTGCCCTGATTTCCTTACAGAAAGGCGATGTGAATGTGGGCCTTTCCCCAGCTCGATCTGTCTTGCTGGGGTCGAGATAATTGAGAGCAAGGTCTTTCAAACTCCTTGGAGCACAACTCATGGCCGGAAATGCATTTTACATTGTACTCAGAGCACACACACAATTTTAACAAAACAATACTTCTCCTACTGCGAGCAATATACTCTGACATTTCTCACACTACTTTATTCTATCCTATTTCGTTTAGCCAAAAAATGCTGACCACAACCCACCACAGGACGGCAACCTGTAATGTGAAAAAACACCAGCTTGGGAGCGTGCAGAATCGAGAGCAGAAGTGGTAAAATTGGCCCAAGATACAATTCTGGTTGTGGTCTGACTCCTAAACTTGCACCAGATTTCAAATGTCTCATAGACAAGGTGTTTTTGGGGAAAAAGGGAGCACGGCCTACAAAACCACACAATACTTAAAGAACACGGCAAAATGAGGAAGTACTAACCAGGCTTCTGGGATAAACAGAAGAAAATCATCTCAGGGTTGTGGGAACAGTGAAGACCAGAGTGTAAAATGTTCGGAAAGGCCGTCTTCAAAAGCAAAACACTGGGCCATTCCTGTAATCACCACGGATGCCAATGACTTGGAGTTGTGCCAGGGGAGATGGAGCTTGGAACCAGGGAAAGCCCTTAGCTCATTGCTCCACTGGCCGGAAAGCCTGCTTTCATTACAAGCGTTGGAGCCCTCCAAAAGATCTGTGCTCCTGGCTCACAAACATGCTTGTTTGCCATACAAGGAGAATGGGGAGCTCCAGGGGGGAGGGAGCGGTCCCGCACATGTGGAATGAGGTGGGGGTCCTACGATTCTGCCGATGTGATGGGTAAGGTACACGAGGAAACGAACAGAAGGCCAACTCGTCTCTTCTTTCACAGCCCCCCTAGGATGGCTGCCATCCTTCCATGCCCCTCTGTGATGTTTGCTCCCTATTCTGCCAGCACCATGGATACCTGGGGGTGGGGGGGTTCAGGAGGCTCCTTTTTCAGCTAAGAGGGCAAGTCCGGCTAGGTGGGATCGTGGAGGCTTGCAGGAGCACACTGGGGTGGCTGGTCCGGATGGTAGAGGGTCTGGTGAAGCAGGGCACGGACGGCTGGGACGTCGTCAGGATCTGAGGACAGGAAAGGGGTGGGTCAGAGGTTGGGGATCTCCTGGGTGCCTGGCACAGGGCTGCCCCAGCCGCGAGCCCTCCTGGGACTCACCCACGCCCAGCTCCTGCAGGAGGTTCTGGAACTCTGGCTCAGCCTCCAGCAGTTTCAGCAGATTGGTCGATTCCATCCGCTCGAGCTGCACCTCCCAGTAGACGTAGATCTTTTGGTTGAACGTGACGTACACGAGGCAGGGGCTGTTGCGGCCCTCCTTGCAGGCAAAGAGGCCTGAGGGGTGTGGGGAGTGGGACGGAGGTCAGGGGGTTCCAGTCCCAGTGGGGAAGGGCAGAGCCTATGATGCAGACCTTGGAGTCAGCCATTCCCACCCTTCCATAGACGGCAGGCCAAAAACCAAAGGCCCGCTTTCTATTCTGTCTGTAGTGGGAACTCAGAAAAATAGGTAAAATAGGGGGCACCTGAGTGGCTCAATAGTTAAGTGGCTGCCTTCGGCTCAGGTCATGATCCCAGAGTCCTGGGATCGAGCCCTGCATCAGGTTCCCTGCTCGGTGGGAAGCCTGCTTCTCCCTCTCCCCCTGCTTGTGTGCTCTCTCTCTCGCTGTGTCTCTCTCTGTCAAACAAATAAAATCTTAAAAAAAAAAAAAAAAAACCACGTAAAATACGTGGCCTATTTCAGACATGGAAAAACACCAGGCAGAATAGTACCCTAAAAGTGATAGTTGTTGATGACCCCATCTGAGTGATGGCCCTGGAGGAATGAAGGGGAGTCTTGGTAGTCCAAGGGGTAGATGAGCAAAACACAATCAGAAACTCAGGCTTCTCTTTGATGGCCACAGTTCCTTCTTCAAAGGCATTTTAACCTTTCAGGACATTGGAGAATGAACCCCAGAGCACTGTGTAATTCTTAGCACCTCAGCAACCAAAGGTATCCCCATGTTCCCTGCAAGAGCCAGTGATGCTTTTCAAGTCCCCGATTTGGAACTAATGCCAATGCTCTAGAATGTTCCTCACCAAGTTCTGACATGCTCAGATGGGAAAGAACTTTCCAGGGCCTTCACATATCCCAGACAGAGAGGTGATAAGAACTCGGCTCATTCTTTTTTAAATTAGTCTCTTTTTTAAGGTTTTATTTATTTGACAGAGAGAGAGATAAGAACTCAGCCCATTCTTTTTTAAATTAGTCTCTCTCTTTTTTAAGGTTTTATTTATTTGACAGAGAGAGAGAGACAGAGAAAGAGAGAGTGAGTCAGGGAGTGGCAGGCAAAGAGAGAAACAGACTTCCTGCTGAACAAGAAGTCCAACGTGGGACTCAATCCCAAGACCCTGGGATCATGACCTGAGCATAAGGCAGACGCTTAACTGACTGAGCCACCAGATGCTCCAAATTCAGCGCATTCGTGAAGATAATCAGAGATGGGTCTGTCACTCTCCTTTATTCCTTATTTGAAGGGTGCTTGGGTGGCTCAGTGGGTTCAGCGTCTGCCTTTGGCTCAGGTCATGATCTCAGGGTCCTAGTATCGAGTCCTGCATTGGGCTCCTTGCTCAGCTGGGTGCCTGCTTCTCCCTCTGCCCCTCCCTCTGCTTGTGCTAAAAAAAAAAAACCCAAAAAACAAAAACCTATACAGATGGCAACCTAGTACCCACTGTCACCCTCTAACACAAGTGCTGAAGAACTCGTCTGTTTATGAAGACTCAAGTTAGGGGAGGCGGAGACAGTGGACACAGGGGTGGACAAGCGTGGTGAGAGAGGGGCCATGGGCCAGGGTCCCACCTGCACAGAAGGCTCGGATGTTCTCGTCCACCTGGAAGCGGACGACGGTGCGGTTGTGATCAATGATATACGTCTGTCCATCCCAGGCACAGGCCACCACCTCCTCATGCCCGTTGCCCTAAAAAAGGCCAGAGACCAGGCTGCAGGGGTGACCAGCAGCTGCTGTGCCAAGAGCCCTCGTGATGGGGCCTGGATGAAAGATGAAGGAGCAGCGCACCTGGCCCTGTGTGCTGAACAGCCAGCTGGCAAAGAAAATGAGCCTAAGTTTCTTACTGACTTCGCTCCTCGAGTCTGTGGCCACAGAGCCCACGGGGGCAACAGTATGCCCAGTCTCCTACGGAAGAAGCTTCAGCCGATGGAAGTGAAGCCACTCACACGCGGTCACGCAGCAGGGAAGGGAGATGGCACAGAATCAGGGCTCAAACCCGGCCCGGTCTCCCGGCTTTAAAGCTTTGGGCCTCTTCGCCTAACCATCACACGTGCACAAGTCTGGCCCCATGTGCAGGCTGCGGGGGCCGCAGCCTTAGTAAAGAGGGGCTTGTAGACAGACGAGAAAAAAATGGTAGAAGGAGTGGGGGGCGAAGAACTCACTTCTGGACCCCAGTAACTTATTTCTCGTTAGAGCCGTTACCGCTGCCAAACCACTGGTGCAGGCACCGTGTTGCCGGGAAGAGAACGGGGCTGAGCGCCGAGGGATACGGGCAGACAGACGCACTTAGAGTCCGTCTGAAGAGACGGAAAGGGAATTGTGAAGGGAGGATGTCTCGCTTAAATCTCATCTCTCCGTGTCAGGGAGGTAAGGCTGCTCCTCTCACCGTGACATCCAGTTTCTCCAGGGCGAAGAGCTGGTGATCCACCTGCACCGACCACAGCAGCTTGTCTGCTTCCTCCATCAGCTTCAGGGTCCCTGCGGGGGGCGGGGGGGGGCAACAGGCAGGCCGGGGTGGGCATGAAGGACCCCTGAGCGGACCCCACGTGCACACTGCCCCCGACCGCAGCAGGAACTCACCATCCAGAGTGCAGAGGGCAAAGAGGCCAGAGCCAGCCCTCTCAGCGGTGTGGCCTGTGGGTGCAACAGAAGGATGGGAAGAAGAAAAGGTGAAGGGCGGGGCAAGGTCAGAGGGTACAGGGTGAGGGGCGGTCCAAGGCCGGCAGAAAGGGAGGGCCCTGCGGCTCCCCTCTCCCAGGACTGATGCTGGCCCCTCCCCTGGGCTCCCTCTCACACCCCCAGCCCCCCTTCACCTCGTTTGATGTTGCCAACGAGGTGGGTGGAGACGTTCTTGTTGTGGATGCGGCCAGAAGTCTGGTGCAACATGACATCTCGGGCAGCCAGGGTGTCTCTGTGTGGGGTGGAGGGGGGTACTAAGTGGGGATCAAGTGAGCCTAGTTCTCCAGTACTTTTCTAGCCCCGATCTCTGTACGGGCTCCCAGGATGTGAATCAGCCTGGACACTGATCGCTGAGCCTTGTCTGGCCCGTGTGGCAAGTAGAAGAAAAGAGAGACAGAGCTGCCAAGTTAGAATCTTGGAATCTCCTCCAGGTGCTACAAGGTGAAAGCCTAGGATTCCCTGGGTCCTCAAATAATCTTCCGTAGTGGGGAAGAGGTGCCATGCTGGGACCCGGCTGAAGCAGCTCTGTCAAATACATACCCATCTGCTTCCAGGGGAATCCGGGAGCCCCTCTGGATTCCATGCACCCCACGCCATCCACAGGCCTGCACCCTTACCTACTGCCCTCCGGGGCTCCCTCAGAGGTGGGGGGGGGCCCGGTGTCCTTGTTCCAGGTACACAGCAGAATGGCGTAAGCACAGCCTGGCTGAGATACCATCAGTTCTGGCACACCCAGGGGCCCGGGAGTCACCGAGAGACTGTCCACCTGCACCAGGGAACAGGGGCTGACAGAGGGCTGGGACAGAAGTGGGACCCTGCAGAGAATAGGGGAGAGCGTGGGGTAGGGGCCCTGGAAACAGTGCCCCGGGCTTCAAGGGCAGGAGCAGGAGGAATAATGCAAGTTCATGGGGCTCCTGCTCAGTTCCATTCTCTCCATACAGCCCACCTGCTCTCCACGTGCATACGTCCTATGGCCGTGCCGTAGAGCACATCACACCACCTGCGCCCTCGTTTGCCAGTGCTCCCTCCTCTCTGCCAATGGTTAGTCACTTGCCCCTCACACCCTGATTTGAAACTCTCTTCTTCGGATTTCTCTCAATAAGGACATGTTCCCTTTCTCCCACCCTAAATCCAGGCCCATAACTGTGCTCCCTTTCCTGGAGGGGGCCTCCTCCCTGCCCCCTGAGGCCCCTGAGCCCCACACTCAGCCTCTCACCTGACCCTCCAGCGTCCATTTCTTGAGGGACACCAACTGTCCCATGGGATGCTCAGTGCCCTCGCCCAGATCTTCCCAGCGGAAAGCGCGGACCACGCGGTCTGTGTAACCCACCACCAGCTCGCAACGCCCGTCTCCATCTGCAGATCCAGAAAGACAGATGCGTTTGGAGCCGAATGTGTAGTAACGAGCTTGCATCCTTCACACGTGTCCTCCCTGCTCCTCCGCTACCATCACCACTATTGGCACTTTCACACACCACAACCTCACACCCGATGTGAACCTGCAAGCACTGTGTCTGCACCTGCTCCCCTGCCTTCCTTCGCGTGGAACACTCACCCCCCACCCAACTGCTCCGCGGGTCCTATCACGGCTTCCCTCCTGCTACTGCTGTCAGATATGCAACCCGAGTGTCCCGACTCACGCCACGTACCTCCCACTGCCTTCCGGGCAGCTTCCGGCCAGCACATCAAGCCCTGTATCTGCAGGGCTCGCTCCCTTGCCATCTTCAGTGTCTGGCCAAATCTCACCCTCCCAGCAACGGCTTCCCCACCAGCTCCATTTAGAATTGGTACCTCCACTTCTCTGCCCTGACACTTGCTAGCCCCTTTTTGTGGTTTCTCTTCTCCATGGCACATCCGACCTTCTCATATAGGACTTCATTTCTTACAATGTTTTATACTGTTTCTCTTGCGCCCCTTCCCAGTAAAGGTCCAAGAAGGCAGTGACTTTTGTCTGTTTTTTTCACTGCTGCAATCCCACTGCCTAGAACAACACCTAGTTTATAATAGGAGCTCAGTAACTCAACATAAAATGCATAATAATTGCACACGTGAACACTAACTACCTCCCTGAATCCCTTGAGATCGGCTCTACTACCCATCAACTCCTATTTCCCCGGCTGCTTGCCGACGGCCGTGCCTACCGATGTCGCTGATCAGCATGACCTTGGTGTTGGCAGGGATATGCTGTTTGAACACTGGATGTTGCTCCTCTGCCGTCAGGCTCTCGTGGTGCCCAGAAGCATCCAGGGCCTTGGCAGGCGTCAGGTCACACAGGTGAAACCATCCTTCGGCACTCACCGCCACTACCAGGTTCTGGGAGAAGCAGAGGCATGGGAGGGATGAACTGGGGAGGGAAGTTGGGGCACGAGCCTCGTCACTAAAGCACAGAAGTGAGAGGGCTGAAGCCTTTAACTCTCAACTGGTTTCTACCAGGAGATGGGGGTCAATCTAGATATAGCCTTGGAGTTCTACCGAAGTCCCAACATCCCATAGGGTTCTTACCTTTCCTTTATTACACACATCTCCGACCCCAACGCAAGTCAGCTGCAAAGAAAAGGGGAGACACGCTGAAGGAGGCCAGTACTCCTTAAACTCCAGGAAGCAAGGAGAGGTTCGCTACCAGTGTTCGCTGAAAACTTGTGCCATGTGACCTACACTGATAGCTCACGCTAATGGAGTTCTTGCGCGATGGGTTTGGTTCTACCCCAGACACCAACAGGAAGACCTAAAGTGGTGAAGATGGTCTGGGCTGAACAGAAGTTTCACATCAGGATAGCCAGTTTATTTCTAGACTTCTTCAAAGTCTTGCCCCCCATTTTCTACTATACTTTATAAGCTCAGATGACCTTGGCAGCTTTGGAGTACTAAGGGAGCCACTCCACAACAGAAAATAAAAACCAGCCCAGAAGCTGGGAGCACGCCGCCTGGTGGCTCCCCTCCCTGAATCGAATGAACCCTGAAACAGCAGCTGGGCTGAGAAGCCGGTGAACTGGGGACACACTGGTGGGCTCCTGGGCGGCTTAGCCTTGACAGGAAGGATCCCTCTGCCCCTCAAGCCCCAGGGAGTCGGACACTGACCATGCCCTGGCAGGAGCAGGTGAGCCACGGCCGGCTGTCATCACTCTTATACACGAACAGCTTCCCGCTGGTGTCCCCCACGACCAGTTCATTTAACTTCAAACAGGGAGAGAAGACAGGGTTAGTTAGAATGGGATCTTAGGGAACCACCTCAAACTTTTCTGTATGGGGCCCCTCCTAGGGACGTCACAAGATCTCAATTTACATCTTCACTAACTTTTTAGTTAAAAAAAAAAAAAGAAAAGAAAAAGTCCTCTGCAACCAACAACAGCACAGTTTCCCAGAGTTTCTTTAATTCCCTGTAGGGGTAGGTGTGTGTCAGGGGAGGTTAGCAGAATGGGGCAATATAGAAATCTATGACCCTGGGACGCCTGGGTGGCTCAGTGGTTTAAGCCTCTGTCTTTGGCTCAGGTCATGATCTCAGGGTCCTGGGATCGAGCCCCGCAACGGGCTCTCTGCTCAGCAGGGAGCCTGCTTCTCTCTCTTTCTCTCTGCCTCTCTACCTATTTGTGATCTCTCTCTGTGTCAAATAAATAAATAAAATCTTTAAAAAAAAGAGAGAGAGAAAGAAAGACATCTATGACCCTTCCCATCCAGAAGTCTGACAATGGAACAGCCCCAGGGGCTGCGTGCCTGACTGTTCACTGTCAATGAGACATGTTTCGAAAACAACCCAAGATATTTAACTCTTGGAAAATTGGACTTCAGACCACGTATTTAATTGCACGCCAAATGAAAAGACAAGGTCAGCTCTGGGGGTCCTCCTTCTTCTCACAAGACTTTCTGATCACAGTGTGTATGAGTGCACGTGGAGGGGGCGGAGGTGCTGGAGGGGACAGTATGAGGGGTTTGCAGGCCTTAGCCTCCACGCTCTGGGCCTCTGGCGCCCTCAAGTGGTGGCCGAGCTCTTAGGAGGGGGCGACCTGTACCAAGCCTCTTCTCTATTTCTATCTGGGTACTCCATTTTCCCAGCGGTTGCCCGAAGGCTGGCTACCTTTCCAGGGGCTATCAGTGATAGCAAGGTAGCACCAAAGCCCTTTTCCACAAACAGCTTCCTGATTTTCCTGGGGAGGGGGGGCAGCCAACACCTCTTTCCTATCCTCAAAACAGAGTGAATATTAGACTCTCAAGAGCTTTCATTCTAAAGGCAACATAGACATAACATCAACAGTAAGGAAAAGTTGAAAATGAACTGGGGTTTATTAATAATGATTTACTTGATTTGATTCTTTGATTTTTTTTTTAATAGTTACAGGAGTTTCTGGTGGGAATATTTGATCACAGAAGCATAAAGTAAGTGTTTTTTACATTAAACTCTCTCCACCGCATGTTTCCATTACGACTGCCCCAGAGGACTTGCGCAGATACACAGGACAGCACCTGCGTGGCAGAGAGGCTCAGTGTGGCTACCTGGATTTGAATCCCGCTGCCTATGCTTAAAGTTTCTCATCTATAAAACAAAGATCATAAGGGTATCTACCGCATAAGGTTGTTGCGAGAATCGAGCTAACAGCACAAGGCCTTTATAACAGTGACTAGCATAGCATGAGCACTAACACCAGGCAGTTTTCAGCCTCTAGTTAAATCCCTCCAAGGCCAGGGACCCTACAATCCATTCTTTTTAATACACTCATGCAGCAAATGCTGTAGTCCATAAGAGGGCCTCAATAAAGGTTTACTTAATGGACTAATAAAAAAAAAGGCTTTGGAGGAGGCACCTGGGTGGCTCAGTTGGTTAAGCATCTGCCTTTGGCTCGAGTCATGATCCCGGGCCGGGGGTGGGTGGGGTGGTAGATCCTGGGATTGAGTCCATACTGCTCAGTGGGGAGTCTGTTTCTCCCTCTGCCACCTGCCCCCTGTCCCCAGCTCATGCTCACTCTCTCTCTCTCTCTCAAATAAATAAATAAAATCTTTAAAAATAAATAAATTTTTTTTAAAAAGATTTTTTTTTCAGAAACAAAGAAAAATCAGGATGAAAGAGAATGCTCAGCTAGCCCTTGAGTTCGCAGGTAAAGCCAGACAATGAGTTAGGGGTACAAAGATAAATGCCGCAGACTCCCTGCCGAACCTCACCGTTTAACAAGGGCACAGACACAGAAATAAAATACAAATACGGTGCGGTAGGTAGAGTGAGCAAGTAGATGTGACCCAGCCAGGCAGTGACAGCAATGACAATGAGGTAATGGCTGGTCTCCTGGAAAGGAGACATTTCTAAGGTGGCCCATCTGCTTCCCCGGAGCTATAATGCTTCCCAGCAGTTCCTCTTCTCTGTGGCTGATCCTGGCTCTGGCCTCTGGAGATCACTCACTGACACTAAAGCGCCCCAGATGAAGAGTGCCATCGCCAGAAATACTCAAGGAGAGAGGCGGCAAGGTCTTTGATCTGCTGCAGCCTTCCAGTAGCCAGGCTTTTGTGGTCAGTCCAAGAGGGTGTGCATTCTATTTCTGCCTTCCCCTCCCCACAACTTACCAGGAAATAAATTAGTTTTCAAAGAACTTTAGGCTATCGATTTATCAGGATGAAATAAGTCGTTTTCCTGCCCCAGATCTCTGAATGGTAACCTGGGGAACCAGTAACAGAATTTCTATCCACACTCATGCAGGCTGAATGTACCACATACAATCACTAGGCAACTATCTCAACTACTTGCCCTTCTTTCCGTTATATTTATCAATAACCGGCAAAGCCCTTCAAACTGCTTCCAGAGACATAATCACATTTGCTTTCCATAACTGCCTTCAGTTATTCAACAAACATTTGATGAGTGCCTACTATGTGCCAGGCACATTCTAAGTGTTGGGAATATAGCAGTGAAAAAACAAAAATTTCCTATCCTAGGGTGGCTGGGGGATGGACATTGGGGAGGAGGTGCTATGGTGAGTGCTGTGAAATGTGTAAACCTGATGATTCCCAGACTTGTACCCCTGGGGCAAACAATACATTATATGTTAAAAAAAAAATTTCCTATCCTTATGAAGCTAACAACTCAGATTAAAAAAAAAAAAAGGTAGTACAATATATCTAATATTGCAGAACTAAGTGTATTAGTGCAATCCACTTAGAAAAGTTCAATTTCCAAAAAAAGCTGATGTTGTGAAGCTATGAAAAAAGGCATGTATTTTTCCCTTTTAAACAAAGAGGACAATCAGATAACACAGAAAATAATGCACACCTAAAGTCACTCTGTTAATTTACTATTTGAAAATGTCTCTCTTGATTTTCTCATAAAACTGTAATGCTTGGCATATGAAGAAATGTGAAAGCCCAGAAAACAATACAAATTTATGAGAATAACTCCTTCCTCCCTCCAGGGTAGAGAGCCAAAAGAGGCCTCATAAAATATCTTCTCTATCACAGCACAAAGCGGGGGGGGGGGGGGGGGGGATGTTTTAGGCCTTGTTTTTTTCCAGAGAAGAGAGCACAGAACAGTTAGGGGGGGATGAGAATAAGTAAGGAGGCAGAATAGGGAGATGGGGCAGAGGGTAGGACAGGATGGCAATACGGTGCTTTGCATTAAAAATATGAAATCATGGGGGCGCCTGAGTGGCTCAGTGGGTTGAGCCTCTGCTTTCGGCTCGGATGGTCGTCTCGGGGTCCTGGGATGGAGCCCCGCGTCGGGCTCTCTGCTCGGGGAGGGGCCTGCTTCCCCCCTCTCTGCCTACTCGTGATATTTCTCTATCAAATAAATACATAAAATAAAAAAAAACACATGAAATAATGAATGAAAACATAGTCTGTTAAAGAGTGTCTCACACCAGCAACAGCTCCTTTGATGCTCCACCACAAAACTCTACATATTTTAATCACTGCCCCTCCTTACATTTTGTTATTCTTGTGACCATCACCCCACCTGAGGGCTGGGACTGTCTAGTTCATTTTGGAATTCCCAGGATATAGCACAGCCCTTGGCACACGATGGGCAGCTGAATAAGTATTTGCAGAAAAACAGAACCAAATATTAACAACGCTAATAGCTGCGTTTCTGTATTAACTCATTTAAACAACGAGGAAAACAACGATTGGGGAGAGATGAAACGGTAGATGTAAACTGTTTTTGTAATGCAACCAAGGTGTTGCGCTTTCAAGTTGCCAGGCCCTTGTGTTCTACGGAGCAGGCTAGAGAAACCCTGCCAGGCTGGGGCCCGCAGAGGCAGAAAAGTACAGCCCAACTGTGTAATCCAGCCTAAGGGGCACGTGTCAGAGCAGCAAAGGCACGCTGCAAGCTGATTTTGAGGCTTCGGAAGGTAAAATGACTTGAGAGGTGATGCCCCTGGAGAAAGCATCACGACAGAAGCAATGAACCAGGACCTCTGGCCACCAGCTTACCAGGCTCCCACTGTGAACAAGTTACTAACTTAGGCAAAGCATCAGTTATGTATGCCCCTAAAAGAACACCAGACCAGGGAACCCGAGCAATTCGGTCCTGAAGTCCAGCAGGAAACCTCCCCCAGGTTCTCCCCTAGCCCCCAGTCCACCGCGCCAGCCCCACCGCGCAGGCGCAACGCGCACGCCCACGCTGCGGGCGGCTCCTGCACTTCCCAGGCCCGTCCCACCCTGAGCGTCTCTGCAGAGCCGGGCCGCGTCTCGCAGTGCGCATGCACTGACCGTGTCGTTATCGACGTCTCCGAGGCAGATCGCGTGCGGGAAGAGGCTCCCACTAAATTCCAGAGCGACGCGCTGCACGTAGCTAACCGACCTCATCGCGCTTCCAAGGGCCGAGGAACCGGGGAACCCCGCTAAATGTTCCCCGAGCCCCTCCCGAGAGCCGCCCGCGCGGAAGGCCGGCCAAAGTGGAAAGTTACGTCACCCCCCGAGCCTCCAATCGCGGCCTTCGTCGCTTAATCTTAAAGAGGAGGTGGGTCTTCTGAGCCCTCTGGGCGTGGGGGCGGGCTTACCCAGCTACGGATGTGAGTGACAGGGACCTGGGCCACTCCTGTCCTCCAGAGCTCCACAGGGCAGAGGTAGACCTACCCCGACGGGGGCCGATCTGTTCCCCGGGCGACGGGCTCTCCCGGGCTTGACCCGATAACCTTGACCTCTTCTTTTATTGCCCTAGCGATGAAGATTCCCAGCCATCAGACTAAACCAGAGAATCATAGTAATCGTAATTACGGACAACTGTATGCTTTCCAACAGTTTTTTTTTGTTGTTGTTGTTGTTTTGTTTTGTTTTAATGATAAAGTTACCGGTTAGGAAACCTGGAAACAATATAGTGAATTGAACCGGTATTTAGAAGAACAAATTAGAATGAATAGAAAATACCAAGTTACTCTCGAATAGTAAATATTCTTTCTGTGAAATCTTTGTTTCAATTGTGTATATTTATATATGTATATTTTATATACTGACTTATGTGAAAAAGGATTTTTAAATGGTGTGTGTAGGCTTTTGTGGTCAGTAGTTTGAAAACCACTGGCAGCGAAGCACGTTTCGTATATATTGTTTCATGTAATCAGCACAACCCTGGGTGCTTGTATTATTATTACGGTTTTTGGATGAGAAAAACAGGTTCAGCAAGATTAAGTAACAAAACAGAAAGTTGTAGAGCTGGGGCACAAACCAAGATCGTTTGATCCAAAACCCCAGCTCCTTTCTACCATTTATGCCACAGTTCCTAGGAAAGTCCTCAGGCTGGAGGTTGGATTGCTGAAATTTTGGATCTGCTCTGCCCTGTGCCCTCCTCCTCCAGACAAAGCCGTTGTCTCCTTGCCTCAGTGGCCTTACTCTGTAGTATAAATGGGATGTCACCATCATTCGTGGTTGGCCTCTTAGGAAAACTTTTCATGCTGAATCAAGTCCAGTCTTTCTTTGGGGTGCCCCATCAATCAGGGCATCAGAAGTCTAAGAGTTGTAAAATTTTGTAGGTGTTCAATACATTTTAAAGTTTAGGTCTGCAGGTCGAGGCCAGTTTATGCACGGTTTTTCAGGAGTCTATCCACCTCTCCCCTGGGGGAGGCTGGACTAGGGGATGGTCCTGCTTTCTCTGTCTGAACATAGTGGGAGAAGGCACTGGAGGCCAGGACCTTTTCGCTTGGGGGTGGGGGGGGCACATTTTGTCCCAGAGGTCCCAGTGGATCTGACAGCCAGGTTAGATGAGAACAAGGAACAGCAAACAGAACGGTAAACAGGAAGCTGTCCAGACAAATACTGGGGACTGCACATACGCTCAAGTTTCTGGTTTTGGTGGCATACTATGGGCCTCGCCAGGCCCATTCAAAGGCTCTGTGTCATACAGGTATACTGGTGCTTTCTATCTCCGATCTCATGGAGGGGTTGCATGCAACCTTATCCTGCTCTACCACATCTTTGTCCTCTATTCTAGCTCACACTTTGAGCTTCAGCATAGGTTTTAAGGGATGGAGACACAAATAAGGGATGGAGACACAAAAGCCAACTTAAAAATGTTTACCTCTAGAGACACCTGTGTGGCTTAGTCATTAGGCATCTGCCTTTGGCTCGGGTCATGGTCCCAGGATCCTGGGATCAAGCCCCTGCATCAGGCTCCCTGTTCAGCAATGAAAACTGCATCTCCCTTTCCCACTCCCCCTGCTTGTGTTCCCTCTCTCGCTATGTCTCTCTCTGTCAAAAAAATAAATATTTTTTTTAAAAATGTTTACCTTTAAATGTAAAGTCAAATTGTTACTGAATTGTTTCTTTTCAATGTTATTTCTCTATTGTTTTCTTTTTCCAGCATTTTGAATGAAATTATAAAATAAATAAATAAATAAGTGAATTCATAAATAACCCAGGACAAAATAGATGAGGACCACCCATCTTCTGCCACCAAGTGTCCTGACCTGACCCAGTTCTCTGAACTCATACCCTGGCCCAGAATTTCAGTGCCTTAGTTTGATCTTCTTCAGTGGTTGCGTTTCTTGTACTTGACCCTTCTGGGCCAGGGCTTGCCTGTTAATGTTTGTCCTGTAGGTCCTGTCATGATGACATAATTTCATATGACAATTTGGATACCATGCCTTTTGGGTTTTGTCAAGAGAACCCAATAAATTTAGAAAGGGAGCTCCAAAAAATACAACAGGAATCCAGTCTTTCTATTCTCCCCACCATGCATCAATTAACTTTAACTGCATTATGTGTTATGTTACATTCTTAGTAAGTGGAACACACTAGGCATCCCAGAGCCGTGTGGACAGATCCCAGGCTCCACAAGGAACACTCTTGTTCTTGGCCCTTCCTAATGGAATGGTTGGTGGGTCTCCACTGACACCATCTCTAGAGCTTGTCTTTTAGGTCACAAGCACTCTTTGAACATGGGTGTTGGCTTACTCTCCAAAACAGCCTCATCAGGCCATCTTCCTGGTTAGATGACATGGGTAAAGTTGTGTGGGTGGCATATTGTTTTGTTTTGTTTTTAAAGATTTTATTTATTTCACAGAGAGAGAGAGATCACAAGTAGGCAGGCAGAGAGAAGGGGGGGAAGCAGGCTCCCCGCCGAGCAGAGAGCCCCATGCAGGGCTCGATCCCAGGACCCTGAGATCCTGACCTGAGCCAAAGGCAGAGGCTCAACCCACTGAGCCACCCAGGCACCCCTGGGTGGCATATTCTTTACGGACCAGCCAAACGATAGCTTCATTTGAAACCTGCTGTGGGAAGGGAGGGAGGCGTTAAGTGGGAAGCATTTCCACAGAGATTCTTTGTCCATTTCTTCCTCCAGGAGTAGACAGAGGGGTCCAAGTTCTGTCTGCCTAGGATGGCTAGGCAAGAAACAAGAGCTTTAAGACTCTTTCTACACCTGGGGCCCAGAGCCACTCACCATCTTTGGGGCAGGGCTTAGGTCTTCCTAATGGGTTCAGTTTGAGACTTCCTCATTCCCCTTCCCTCTCTAAGCTACAGTGTATCTTAGCATACTAAAGGTCCCACGAAGTCCCCAAGTACGGAAACCTGTTTCTCAGACTTCCTTGACCCAGAAATTAGGCAGAATGACACTGTGGGCAGCCCTGCTCTGAGTGAAATGCTGTTATTCAGAGCGCTCCTTTTGAGGCCCACTGGCTTCCTCACACGTCTGGCTACGTCACAAAGCACTGCCCACTCTGGGAAGCTTTGATCCTAGAACCTGTCCGGGTTGTTAATCTGGCTTTCTTTTGTTTTACAAGATTTTAAGTAATCTCTACACCCAACTTGGGGCTGAACTCACAACCCGGAGATCAAGAGTCACATGCTCTACTGGCTGAGGCAGCCAGGAGCACCGGGATGGCTGGCTGTTTACTGGCTCATAACTGAAGGGGAAGACTAGTCCTTCACTGTCTCTGGCATCCAAACATGAGGAAACAAAGGATGATGAAAATGGCTCAGAACTAGATAGAGGTGGTGGTCGTACAAGACATAATGGGACTAAATCCTGCTGCATTGTCCGTATTAAAATGCTTAATTTTATGTGAATTCCACTTCAATAAAAAAAATAAATAATTTTATGTGTGAAGCACTAATGACAGTTGGAACCTACAGCCTTGGGGGGCAGAGCACAGGATAGGACCAGCGCCCTCGTCTAGCCAGAGAAGTCTGCAAGTTCATTAGAGTTTTCTTGATTGTCCCTCCTCAGAACCACTTTGTGACTCTTTCATTCTTACTTTGCCTCCCAAATTGGGATCCTTAGTGTTGTTCATTACATGCTAAACGAGGGTTTATTATGATCCTGAGATTTTATGATTGAGGACAGTGGTAGTGCGTTCAAGTTATCTGAGGTTGGCAAGCAGCTGGGGAACTACAGCCAGAAAATAGCAATAATGATTTCCAGAAAGAGGACAAGTTCCCTTACGTAGGATCTCTTGACTTGGCTTTATTCAGCACTGCCCTTAACCCCTTTTCATTTTGACTTCAGTATGTCATAAGGCTCTGAGATGCCCTACATTTGGAAAGGGAAGAAACACAGCAGACAGAAGAGAGATTCCACTCTTTTAAACCAAGGGAGATGCACACTCCCCCCCCCCACCCCCCACCATGGTGCTGTGGCCGGTATAGAGAGGGGTCAAGTGCTTCGCTGCTGGTGGAAGGCAGGCAGGGCTGGGCCCTGCAGGGTCTTATGGACCTCAGTATGGGTTCTGGGATGGGAAGTCACCAATGGGTTTTAAGCCATTGGACAGGAGATCTGGCTGGAGGTGCCTGGTGATGTTGGGGAGGGGCTGCTAGAATGGAGACGGGAAAGACTTGGGAGATCGAATTTATAGAACTTGTCATGAGGATCAGCACTAGGACAAGATGAACCCAATCTGAAAATGTCCAAATCTGCAGTAACAGCTAGCCATATATTGGTTACTACCCGTTTCCCTTATCCAAGCACATTCTCTCGATCCGGGAGGATTTTGAGTGTTGGTGAGGAAATGTTCAACTGACGAGGCTATGAACTTGAGCATGGTCCAGAGCAGAGTGGAAGTACGTGACATGTCTGTTTTTAATCCTGAAGGCTTCTGGCCCCTTAAATAAAACATCTTGACAGTATGGCTTTAATGTTACACCAACCAAGGCTTATCCAGCTCCAGGATTCTATGGAAGTGTGTTTTAAATTCCTGGAATCCCACAGAAGCTGGAAGGAACCTTAGAAGTGTGTTTTGTCCACTCCCCTGTTCTTGCAGCTCAGGAAATAGGCTCAGCTTGCCCAAGGTCACATGAGCCTCCCAGCAAGTTTAGATTTGTTCCAGCTTGCTCATATTCCAGGCAGACCCCTCTTTGACTTGAGCCTTGTTCTCATTTGCAAAGCGGGGGTGTTAACTCCTTCACAGGACAGTTGCAAGTATTAAGGTTAATTCA